AAAAGTGTCTTTTTGAAAGAAACATCAAAACTCAAACCCGACCCAGCGTGAATCAAATCTGTAAATAAACCAGCATAACATCTGCTTAATTTGTTCAGACCAAAAATATAATTGAATATCGGGACCCTCACCCAATTCCTTTGGTTTCATCGGAACAGAAAGTTTGATTCCAAATATACCTTGGAATTAAAGGCTTAATCCTCTTTAAAAAGTTTGTATTTAAGTAACATGATAGAATTTGGAATTGGACGTTTAATCTCGGAATGATATTCATTCTTATAACATTGATCCTGCCAAAAAAAAAAGAATTTGGAAGAATCGACCGATCTGATAAATTCTGATTAATTTTCGCGATTAAATGGGGATTATTGGCTTTAAAGAGGTCTTCGTGATATTAATTCCCAAATATTGAAATCCAGAAAGTGCTAGATAAAAGGCAGATTTTGAGATGGCTTCGCAGGGGGCATACATATACAAAGCTTGAGATTTCTCCAGATTAATCTTGTATCCTGAAAAGTTGCTATATTTTTCAGTTACTGCAAGACTTACATCAGTAGAAGTCTCGTGGTATTTAAGATACAATAGAACACCGTCTGCATACAGAGATATACAATGTTCATCTAGACCTATTTTAATACCGTGCATGCTACCGTTAGTTCTCACAGCAACAGCCAGTGGTTTGATAGCCAGAGAGAATAACAAAGGTGAAAGAGGACAGCCTCTGCGTACTGATAATCTGTTAGACAACATTCTATTAGTGTTGACCTGGGCTATAGGATTAGAAAGGAGAAGTTTGACCAGACCTATAAAAGTAGATCCCAACTGTATTTTCTCTAATACTTCAAAAGAAAAAGCCATTCCACTCTATCAAACGCCTTTTCGGCGTCTAGGGGTACAATAAAGGCAGATTCCTTGGTAACATTTAAATAATCTATAATATTCAAAACTCTTTCACAAAACCAGTCTGATCTGGGTTGACAATGTAAGGCAAAACAGTTTCAAGCCTCCGAGCTAAGGACTTGGCTATAATTTTAGAATCTACATTAAGTAAGCTAATTGGGCGATAAGAGGAACAATTTGTTGGGTCTTTGTCTTTTTTCAGAAGAAGACTGATAATTGCCAATGACCAGGATTCAGGCATAAAATTTGTCTCAAAAAGATTATTTATTACTTGCATTAAAATAGGGCAAAGCCCAGGCCAGAGCTGCTTAACGCAAACCCATCAGGGTCGGGAGCTTTTATCGGATGGCGTTGATTGAACGGATTGCCGGATTTCATTCAAAAAACTCCTAGCATCATCAGAAATACTGGGAAGAGAAATCTCATTTAGTCTCAAAATTAAGCAAATCCTCACTAGAGCCACGATAATCAACTGTATATAGATTCCTATAGAAATCGTAAAAAGTAGAGTTGATGTCCTGCGGGTCAAAGGTCATGTTTGCCTATAGATGTCTTAATTGATTTTATAGTTCTTTCACTCTGCTCCTTTTTTAACTGATAGGCCAAAAGACGACTGGGTTTGTTACCGAACTCATAATATCTCTGTTTATTATAAAATAATAATTTATTGCTATGTTCTGCATAATCCAAGTTAAGCTTGGCTCTAGCATCATTTAACAAAATCCAATTATCTCGATTTGGCAGTCTTCTGTGTTGTTTTTCCAGGTAATTTACTTCAGCTTCAAATTTTCCTTTTCTGGATTCTGAGTTTCTTCATTAAAGAAGCATCAGCAATAAGGTTCATCGCGGTGGAAACTGGCGAGTTCTGATCGTCTTGCCAATACTGAATTATTTCTGTCTAAAAAGAGAGCAAAAAATGTATTGCTTAAGAACAAAATATTGCATTTCCAATAGTTTGACGTCTGAATCGGTATACTAATATCAATGACTAAATAAACAGGGCCATGATCGGATAGCAAAATAGGGCCAATATGACAAGATCTCACATCGTGTATACAATCAGAAGGTGAACAGAAGAGACTCAAATACATACATCGTTCATGATATAGCTTTTCACGTAACTTGTGACCAACAGATGGCTGAAAGGCCAACAAGAAGACAAGCAGGACACAGACGTCCACTATCACTCTCTGACCGGAGAGGGCAATTTCAACTGGCGCTTCGTTTACCCCTTCGACTACCTACAGGCCGAAGAGAAAATCGTCATGTCAAAGAAAGAGTCCATGTTTTCTTGGGATGAGACGGAGTATAAAATTCCTGCCCGACTGAATTTGCAAGTGTGGGATGCGGATCACTTCTCTGCAGACGACTTCCTGGGTGTGCTGTTGTACTTTTATGATTATTATTATGATTTGTATGATTAAATGTACATTCAGGCTCAGTCGTAATGACCTTCATTCATGCCGGCACATGTGTTTTTGGTTTTTGTTTCAGGTGCAATTGAACTAGACCTGAATCGATTTCCTCGCGGTGCGAAGACAGCGAAGCAGTGCTCCATTGACATGGTGATTAACGAGCAAGACATGCCCATGGTCAACATCTTCAAACAGAAGA